TGTATTAAGCCTCTTCAAGCAATCTAGTTTCTCTGTCCCTAGACTATTGTAAGACAGCAATAAAATATTCATAAAATATATATAGTGAATACAACAATGTGTTCAAACAGCAAGAACACAGTGAAGTATTGAAATGAGGCAAAAGTTTATTTTACTGCAGTTATTCTCTTTCCATTTTTTGATTCATGTTGTTCAGGAAATATTTTATATATTTTATATTTTGATTTTAGAGAAGCCTCCCACTCCCTTTCCATGTCTCTTTATTTTTTTTTATTTTGTTTCTTTTTTCTTTTGTTGTTTCCTGCTCTTTAAAGGCCACAGAGGTACACGGAACATGATACATGAAAACAGAGATACTAGCCAGGTTTTGGGGTACAGTTGCAGTTACCCCCTTGGTTCCACTCTAAAAGCATTTCTCAAGAAACCAACTGTATTTTTATTAGAATATAAATTACATTTTTTAGTAAAGAACCAATTTGTTTGTGGGTTACTACACCATGAATATACCAACTTTATACAAACCATTTAAAATACAGTGAGTATTTAATTAGATTTAGTTTTATCATGACAGTTTGTCCATATGAAGATGTTAAAATAATTCTGATTGTTCTTTGAGTACAACGAGTAATATAAACTAATTCCAGCCAATTTGGAAAATATATAAAAACATAAAGAAGAAAATAAAAATAACTTGCAATTCCACCATCCGGGGATAAATATTTTACTTAGTTTAAGATTTACCACAAATTTACCAGCTTTTAATCGTTAGGTAGAAAGGAAGTCATAGGAAGGCTGATGTTTGATAAGAAAACAAAGCACAAGCTAATTGACTCCTTATTCTTTACGAAATCTTTAGACTCAGGAGAAGTATTATATACTAATGCTTGTCATGTTAGATGGATTTAAAAACCTACCTCAGAATATCTGTTGTAATTTTCTTTGCTGTGAAGACTGAACATCATTAATTCATCTGCGCAAAAGATCTTTGATGTTAATAAGCTTGAAGTGATTAAAATCAGTAAAATGAATCGTTTCGAGAAAATAATTTCCATTTTGTCCAAATCTAAAATGAAGTTTATATGTGCAATCTGGTGTCTACAAGAAGGGAATACATGGGTGTTTTTATACTGTTTAAAAGCAAAGGAAAGTTTCTTTTAACAGTGAAATCAATCCCACACATTTTAAATACTACTATTAATGAGAGTGTGTAACTATAATATGCATGTCAGGAATGTGGGCAATTCAGTCTGGAAAGACAGCAATGTTTGTGCTTGCAAATTCATTAACTTTAAAAATTATTGTCCTCATTATGAAAGAGCTTCTAATTAGGTGAGTTTGGGGTGATAGTAATTAAGATTCCAAACAAACAGAATGCTTTACTTCTCTGAGCTCAAACAAAAAGTATTTTGTTTTTGGTGTTTGCGTCAATCCTTGAGGAAAGGGAAGAAAGTATTCAATACGTGCTAGCTATGGTTTCTTATTAAAATCCACACAAAAGAGCTGGGCCTAGTATTTTCAAAATGTCAAACAAAATTAAGAATGGGGAAAGAATTATGTCATATAATATCCCAATAAAATGTCATGAATTAATTTTTTTGTGAAATTCTTTTTGTTTATCAAAAAGCTTCAGGAGTAAATGTCAGCTGTAACGTGGAGGATGTACACAGCAGCAAATATTCCACAGGCGTTTTGACAGACTGGCCATTTCAGGAGAAACTGGAGGCAGCCAAGGAGAGTGGGTCTTATTTAGCAAAACTTGTGAAATTCTTTTTGTTTATCAAAAAGCTTCAGGAGTAAATGTCAGCTGTAACGTGGAGGACGTACACAGCAGCAAATATTCCACAGGCGTTTTGACAGACTGGCCATTTCAGGAGAAACTGAAGGCAGCCAAGGAGAGTGGGTCTTATTTAGCAAAACTGCATAAATCACCAGGATGTTATTTCCATCAGGATGCCGCATCCTACCTTTCTCCTCAAAGCCCTTGAGAACCTTAGCAGAGGCTTGGGAACTCACACTCACACGCGCTAATTTTGTTGCTCCCAGGGCCCATATTATTTAGATAATCTCACATTGCCACAGGCATACTGACATCACGGCATTAAAAGAGAATTTACAGAAATAAATTTGTATTTACTGAAATGCCAAAACAGTCTCTTGGGAGCATTGCCTATTCTTATCAATACCAGTCAGCTGCTTTATTGCCAGATAAAGCTTATCTAGACCTGCCTTATCACTAGACTGCCTAGGTTCCAGAGAAACCGTGACTTGCTCCCATGTTCCTTCAACATTCTCAGGAGAAAAAGACCTTATTTCCAACACTACAGCTACTTCTAGACAGAGACTCTTAGAGGGAATTAACAAAAAGTTATAAAATTGCTCTGTTGTGTAAAGAATGGCACACCACTAGCCTCTCTCACCAACCTGCCATGCGTGATTTGAGGTATGAGGTGGCAAAAGTGAAGACCTCTCTTGGTATCAAAGGTCTCCAGAATAAGTCAGAAAGGTGAAAAACAGCGGTGGGTAAACTCTCATGGTGCCTTAACATCATACTTGCCCATGGCCTCTCTTAAGGCAGTAGACATGATTGGCTTCATTTGTTTTGGTCTGTGGTAGCCAAGAATTCTCACAGTAGGAGGCAATTAATTCAATTCATAGTCTAGTGTTAATTTTGCAATGCTGTTATTGGATTATTTGGGTTTAATTTCCTGGAGGATTTAATACATTTCTCTTCTGAATTGTTCCTTTGCAAACTGCTGATGGAACTTCCTTTTTCTGTGGTCAGTAGATCCAAACTTTTGAGAAATGGGTGAAGCAAGGAGCGAGTTTTGTTCACATCCTAGAAAAAGCAGAAGGCATCAATCTTTCTAAATATGTTTGTATCTAGTTACCATTTTCAAATAACATGAGACTTAGTTCACCAGTTTTCAGTGCAGCTACTTGGGGTGTTGGCACCTGCATTAGAGGTTTTCTGATTCCGGTCAGCACCCAGAGCTACCAGCATGACTCATTGTTCCCTGCCTCCACCAGTTTAGGCTTCCAAGCTTGGAGTGTAATTAGAGTTAGACTTATTTTATTAATATAGGGCTTGACTCTTTTCAACCATATCTTCATTTAGCTTTGAAAACGTTAACAGATATAGAACATTACTGAACACATGTAGTATGAAATCACCATAAGTTTTTGGTGAAAGGTACTGTCACATATATACATCCAGATTAATTCATTTAGGGCTTCTGAATGAGACATATGAGCATACAAAAAATTTTTTTGAAAAATCCATCTCCCTGACTTGTGGCATTTAAATACATACTTCATTTGCTAAAATTATAGAGGAGTTATGTCTACTCACTTCTTCTTTTTTTTTTTTTTTTTGTCTTTTTCCATGTCCGGCAACGGATCACCACCCTCAGTGTCGCCCCTGCACCGGACCGGGTCCGGCAACGGGATCACAACCCTCGGCGTCACTCCCGCGCCTCGCTCAGCCAGTGAGCGGGAACCGGTCTGTATGTGGGATCTGAACCCTCGGACGGGAGCGCCGCCGCGCTTCCCAAGCGGCGCACTATCCAGCGCGCCACCGGGCCGGCCCATGTCTACTCACTTCTTCTTTTTTTTTTTTTTTGTCTTTTTCCATGTCCGGCAACGGATCACCACCCTCAGTGTCGCCCCTGCACCGGACCGGGTCCGGCAACGGGATCACAACCCTCGGCGTCACTCCCGCGCCTCGCTCAGCCAGTGAGCGGGAACCGGTCTGTATGTGGGATCTGAACCCTCGGACGGGAGCGCCGCCGCGCTTCCCAAGCGGCGCACTATCCAGCGCGCCACCGGGCCGGCCCATGTCTACTCACTTCTAAGCCTCTCACTCTAGCCTGGACACTTCTCCTGAGCATTAGACACCCCAAATACTAGACCGTGCTGTTTGGACGTCCCACAAGCATCTCACGTCCAGTATGTCCAAAATGGAATTTATCTTTTCAATACATGTTTCCCCTCCTGTTCATTGAAATGTGTTTCCCATTTCAATGAATAGTACTGCATCAGTCAGGGACTAATCATGAGACAGAAAACACAGTTATTTGAACAAGGAATGATCAATATAAAGAATTATTAATTATAATAGGGATTAACTATAAAAGGTGTGAAGAATATGCTAAGGCTTAGAGAGAGTATCCAAGGAAAGAAGAAACTGGCTGGAATTCAGATTTTGTTGGAGAAGGAGTGGACAGCAGGGAGGTTTGCTGGGTTGCTCCAGGCCAGAGCTTGTCCACAACCATAAGCAGGAGACACCCATTTGGGGTGCAGGTGGGCCATGGTTGGGAAGGTAACTTCTGCAGTATTTGTGAGGCTCCTGGGGACCTTCCACTGGAACTCAATGGGGGTGAGCATCACTGGAGGTCCCCGCATGCACCATTGGCAGCCATGTACAGGGGCACAAAGAAGCAAGTGAAAGCACACTTGGACCAGGAAGAGAAGTCCCGTCCCGCTGCCATGCCCCTCCAGTGCCTTCTACCAACAAGGCTGAAAATTACGCCTGTTGCAGAGAAGAAGTGCTTGCTGGGTTCATCTCCAGGATATTGAAGCATGCACTGAAGGGTAGATTTGGAGCTGAGAAGCAATAAATCAAGAACTGACACAGTTGCTATCATTTATCCATTTATTTAAGCCAAAATCCTTTGTGAAATCCTTGACTATTTTCTCCTACATTCTGTTCTACAGCTGATGAAAAATTGTGTGGTTCCTGATTTTGAACTATTACACTTGATAATAATAGTAGCCAATATTTTCTGAACACTTATCACATGACAAGAACTGTTGTAAGTACTTTGTGAATTAACTCATTTATCTTTCATTATGATCCCATGAGCAGGTACTATTATTGTTTTACTCTACAGAAAGGGAAACTAAGTTGCCGAAGAATTAAGTAATTTTCCCCTCAAGCGTCAGAGGCAGGATTTGAACCCAAGAAATCTGTATACTTAATAACTATGCTAATCTTCCCAATCAAGTCTGGTCTCTTCTAACTTCTAAGTAGCACTTAAATCTGCTCACTTCTCTCCAACTCCATTGCCACTACTCAATTCATCATTTTTTCTTGCCTAGACATTTTCTTTGTCTTCTCCAATTCTTTCTTCACAGAGCAATCAGAAAACTTTTAATAAAACATGATAAATTTTTGACTTTCCTCTTTCATACCTTTTCATGGTTTCCTGTTTCCCTCAGAATCACTCAGCCCGTTCTTCATGACCTGGACTTTGCTTATTTCTCCAACATTAACTCTTGGCAATGGCCACCAACTATCTGCTTTATGGCAGGCTTCTTTCTGTTCTTCCAAATGGATGAACTTTCTCTTGCCTCCGGCCCTTGCTTATGATTTTCCTGAGCATCAGACATTCATCTGCTTGCCTCTCTCCTTCTTCCACCTATTGATTGGAACTCAGCTGAGGTATCACATCAGGTTCCTCCTGATGCCCAGCTCCTATGGATAGCTCTTTTTTTCTTTGCTAATCTTGGCTCTTAGCACATTGACATTGTATAGTCCATTTCTGTTCATTATAACAGAATACCTGAAATTGGGTAACTTACAAAGAAATTCAATTTATTTCATATAGTTTTAGAGGCTGGGAAGTCCAAAGTCCAGGAAACACATCTGGTGAGGGCCTTCTCAGTGGTGGGGCAACCAGGGTGTCACACGGCAAATGGGTCGAGCAAGGGAGCTAACCTCCTCACTTGCTCTCTCTTTAAAGCTATCAGAACTACACCCATGACCACCCATTGAACCATCAATGGATCAATCCATTCACGAGAGTATAGTCCTCACAATCTAATCACCTCTTAAAGGTCCTACCTTTTAATTACCATAAGAGGATTTCTCACCTTCTTAACACTGTTACAGTGGAGCTCAAGTTTCCAATGAATTTTAGGGGGACATTCAATCCACAGCATATATGTCCTGTTGCCTCCACTGCCCCATAAACTCTGCAAGGGAAGAATCTTGCTTTGCAGATCAAGTGGTATTTCCACTGTCTATTGCACATGTGCTCAGGAAATTTTATTT